ATTGGTTTCCCGAAGCCGACTTATTGGTGGTATTTTTCTTACACTGACTCCTCAGATGTCCTTGCTCCCCACAGTTCCAACAGTCTTTCTTGGTAGCAGCCTTTACTGCTGTATCGCCTCCCTTGTGTTGAAGTTGCCAGCATTGAACTCTTTTGTGCCCAGGTTTGTTACAGTGCCAATAAAGTCCCTCAAACCTCTCTGAAAGCTGACCTTATCTGGCCTTGAATCCAGATGACTGTACAAACCTTGGTACCTTCGTGCTGGACTTAACGTAGGATTCAAATTCGAGAGCTCTGGCCATTGCATCCTGCATGGTAGAGGGGTGTGCTTGCTTAACTTGTATCTTAAGTTGTGGACTGTCTAAGGCATCTACAAACGGATCCCTCAGCAACAATTTGAGGAGATCGGGTGGTGCAGTTGGGTAGGCCTTGTGTGCCATGCTTTTTAGGTCCTGTGCCAGCTCTTGCAGGCTCTCTCCTTTAGCACGGACTCTCGTCTTCAACGTAGCCCTGTAGACTTTCGACTGATTTTGGGTTCCGTACCTGAGTTCTAGAGCCGACACCAGTGCTCTATAGTTGTGTCTGTCGGCTGCTGACAACTTTCCAAGTATTTCCAGTGGTTATCTCTTCAAGCTCGTTGCCATATATACTGATTTCTGCTCCTCTGTCCATCCGTTCATCTCTGCCAGGAGCTAAAATTGTGCTCTATATGCTTCCCACGGTGCCTTCTCATCAAATTCCTGTGGCTTCCTTCGTACTGGATCACTCCTATTACTGACATTCATATCTGGGATGTGACTTCTAACGGGATTCCCTGCAGCTAAACCCTAATGCAGACATATTCGCCCCAGACAATGACAAGCCCCTTCCAGAACTTAACCAAACGATGATTAATGTATCCCCTTGTGTAAAATACAATAAATCGTCTTTTATCGTATCTAATTCGCTTTTAAATTTACTAATGTTTTCCATTTGTGCTTCTTGCCACTGTTGTTGACTTTCCTGTAACTGTTGGCGACTTTCTTCCTGTTTATTTTCTTTCTCTTCCATCCACTGCTGTAGTCTCTCTTTTTGTTCATTTTCTTTCTCCTCCAACCACTGCTGTAGTCTCTCTTCTTGTTTATTTTCTTTCTCCTCCAATAGCTGTTGTAATCCCTCTTCTTGTTTCTTTTCTTTTTCCTCCAAAAACTGCTGTAATCTCTCTTCTTGTTTATTTTGCTGTTCGAGCTGCCACTGTTGCAGGTTTTCTTGCAACTGCTGTTGTCTCTCTTCTTGTTTCTTTTCTCATTCTTCTTGTTTCTTTTCTTGTTTATTCTCTCGTTCTTCTTGTTTCTTTCTTTTTCCTCCAACAACTGCTGTAATTTATCTTCTTGTTTCTTTTGCTGTTCTTGTATTGCTGCCATCAAATATACTAAGCTGTAGTTTGATTTTCCGCCTCTCGTTTCCATTTTTTGTCCCACTCTCTGACACCAATTTGTTACTCCTCCGTCGTTACTTAATTTTCCGTAAATTCGTTCCGACGAAACTTTAGCGACACAAGTCCTTTCTTAAATAAAACTGGTTTATTCTTTCCGAATACAACTTTACCGATACACTTAATTTCAACAGTCGCTCTATAACAAACACTAGAACGTCTCACGTGCTCGACAATACTCAGTTCAATTACACAATATCTCTGTTGTCCCGTCACATTGTGAACGTCTTATATATACAAGACTAACACATATCTAGTAAATGCTAGGGCATTCTTGAAGGAACAGGATATTTCTAGAAAGAAGTAGCGTGATACTAGTCACGTGACCTCGCTGACGCAACACTATGAAGACGCTTGTTGAGTCTAACTCAAGGCTTTAAAACTCTCGTGAAATGTCCCTGAAATTGAATGTCTGTTATGAAACAATACGTAAACATCTAAAGTGTTATGTTACATTGATACTTATATTTTTAAAACTAAAATTCTATAAACTTTATATGTATTAAATGAAAAGTGAATACTACAGGTGTATTTCTTTATTTGTAGAGTGTATTGGTTTAGTGGCATATTTTAAGTTTTCCAAGTGATATTTATTTTTTTATTAAACTAATTATTATTTTTCAGATAGAAAATGTAAATTACGTATCACAAATATGAAGCATGGAGAAGTCTACGTGTAATTACGGAGGCTATATGAAATATCAGTAAATATAAAAAAAAAATTCAAAAAGTCTTTCTACACTTATACATTTCCTTATCCTGAAGGTAGTTATTACTAAATAAAAGATTTGTGATTAGTATGTTTTCGTGTAATTTGAAAAGCAGGTCTTCAATCAACTTTTATGATTCTTGTACTGAACAAATGGTTGACACTTGCATTTATTTAGTTACTCTGTATGTAGATTTATTTTCTTAGATAAATGAGTTACTGCATGTACATTTATGAAACATTATCAGTTATTTCATTAAACTTTCCTTGAACAAATGAGTTTAATTAGAAATGTAAAGTTTTTTTTATTGCTTTATTGATGTACAAGTTTAGTATAATTAAAATCTCTAATTCAAGCATTCACTTTTAGTTGCATATTTACTAAATAATTGACTTGGTGAAATTACTTGACAGTATGGGTTTTTAAGTTTGTTTGTTTTTTAAGCACAAAGGTACTCGATGGGATATTTGTGCTGTGCTCACCACAAATATTGAAACCAGGTTTTTAGTGGTGCAGGGCTTCATACTTACTTCTTTGCCACTGGAGGGCAGGGTGTTGTCAGGAGTTATTTTATGTTGCTTATTCACAAATCAGAAGAGTGATTGATGACCTTGAATTTTAAAACCAGTAAACTACTACACTTTGTTGTCCAGTGGTTGGTATTCCTTATATTGGCTTCAAGAACCAGTGTTTTTAGATAATTTTCGTACGAGTGATATGTACTTGTAAGATATGGACCTGAAATATAATTTTCAGAAATAATTAGAGATTAACACAGATAACTTAATCCCAATTAGACTGTGAAAGAAAAGAAAACTGTGAAGTTGTTTCTGTATATATAAACACAGAAAATTTGGGTTGTAAGTCATGTTTTTCTTCTATTTTTTTCAGACTTTAGGACTTTTACAGATTTTAGTAATGTTGCTTTTGCTTTACGAAGTACATTTTAACTAATTTGAAGAGGTTGATAAAAAAAAATGTTTTATGTACCAGCTGTTACTGGTCTTTGGAAAGCTTTGAAAATTGTTACAATACTTGAAAAATTGGACTTTACTGTCAATCTTTAATATAAATCTGTCCTCTAAAAATATGCCAGTTTTTGTCATAGGATATGTAATTTTCTCATTCATAATTTTTTCTTTTATCAAATTCTTCCTATGTAACCCTAAAATCAGTTTCACAATACCCTTCTTTCTGGATATTGAATGAACTCTCAGTGATATGCATAGTGGTGTCATGTTTGAGTGGATGAGTGTTTGTTTATCAGTCATTTTTATAGATTCATTTAAACCTCATGTTATTTATTAATCAAATTAATGAGGAAATGTGATTTTAGTTTGCATTGGTAACTACAAATGTGGTTGCCTGATTTAGACTCATAATACAGAGTCAGCTTTGAAAAATAACATGAATTCTAAAATGTGTGTAGAGAATATTGCTAATAAAAGTAAATGAATTAAAAAATAATAATAAATTTTTGAACCTTGGGAGGCTCTGATCTAGTTGTTCAGCCCATATGTTGTATAAGTTGCCGTTCAGATCAAAATACCAAATGCAGAACAAAAAAGTGGTAGAAAGATCAACTAAGTTTTACGTATTGTTGGGATTTGTATGCTGTAGAATCAGTTTACCATATGATTTAATTAGGGGTAAATTTCAGCTAGAATGATACTAATATTCTAATACTTCTGCATGCCAGGTCAGCTAATGTGTACTTTGTATTTTCACATTTGTGAAAAAAAGGTAATGTGAGTGTGTTTAAATGTACCTCGTGTGATATGCTACATTTTGAAGCATGCTCTATAAGTTTCATTTAACATTTATTGGAAAATTACTGTACAGTTTGTGTTATGCAAATGATAGAACCTATATAGCTGTGTACTTACTACTGTGATAAACTTATCTTTTCTCGCCTTTTTGTTACTGTAATCAAGAAAAGCTGGAATATAAGTATTTTGTAATGTACATGTATTCTCTAGCAAAGGTGTAGAAATACACTAGTAAAATATAATTACATATCTCTTAAGATATAGGTGATTGTTTTGGGGAATTTCAGGAATTCCAAGCTAATTAGATGAAAAAAATATCATGTCTTATTTTCTCTGTGAAAATACTTATATGCAAATTCTGTTGCACAAATTATGAAAGCTGTAAAGATGAAGAACACAGATTTATGTCTAAGAAAGCATTTATCAAATTAACAGTTATATATATTTTGAACAATACAATACGTAAAGAGTTTATCTAAGGTATTTCACCATTGTACAATTTTTCATGAATCAAACATATCAGGAGTTGGACCACTTTTATATTTATGTCAAAAGAAACTATTCATTTCTTGAACTATTATTGAGAGGTTCCTTCAGTTTCCATCTGGATTGAAATTATCCACCTAGAATTAGTTTGTATTATTCCTTATGCTTCTATACAAGTACTGTGCATGAAATTTTAACATTTTCAGTATTTTTTCCATACAAGTTAAGTACCCTTAGGTTAGATTGGAATTTCAAAATGAAGTAAATAGAAGAAATTCTTGTTCATTGTGTGTAACTCTCAATAGGATATTCTAGCATTATTTTATTAGTTGCAAAATAATATATATACTACGTATGTATATCATTAATGATTTATCCAAAGTAAGCTAACTATATGTAGATCAGAACTAAAGTAACTTGCAGTGTAAATTAATGAAGCCATTTATATTTTATAAACTGACAAGAAGTACATAATGTCCTAAATCAATACAAAGGAAAATTAAAACTTGTAATTATTAGAATGCTTTGAATCAACAGTAGAGTATGCTTGCTATTATTAATTTTGGTCATTATCCAGTAATATGTCGGTAAGATTTAAGTTAGTCCCAAATCCGTATACTAAACTATTAATATGAAGTAATTTTCATAAGTGAAAAAATAATAATGAGAATAATAAATTATTAAATAATAATTGTTTTAAACATTAAAAATATTCATGAAACTAACTTGAAATATGATAATTTTAAAGCATTAGATGGTAAACAAATTTAGAGCTGGATGATTTAATCAGTATAGTGGATTACCTTTGAGCAGCAGTTATATCAATTACTGTCACATAAACTAACCAACTAATTGAAATTAGTGTTTTTGGTTATTATTTCAACTACTGGTTAATCAGAATCATGATTAGATTGATTAATCTAATTAATCTGAATTAAGAGGTGTGTGAGACTAGTAGTGTTAGTAATAGAAGTGTTTGAGGTAGAAAACCTAAACTCCAAAATTTATGTTAAGTATCTAAGGGTATGTTCTTTACAAGATATAATGGTCAAGTACAGATCTTGCCAACAACCTTGCTTTAAATACAGCTGTGAATGCTCCCTCAAGAACAGCGAGATATAAATTAGTACGAAATGGCCTTGGATGTAAAGGTTAAAACATCACTACTGAGAAGAAGTAACTAAACCAAGAAGGTTTAAATGACTATCAAATCACAAACAGTGGAATGAGCAAAGGTGGAGATGTGTGTTCTACAATTACAGACACGTTCAAGTTTGAACTGTTTGGCAATAATCCATGACTGTTTGTTTGACAGTGAAGAAGAGAATATTATCACAGTCAACTTACAGTGAAGTGTGGTGGGAGATCAGTCTGTATCTCAGACAGTGGTGTCAGTGCTCTACATGGAATTGATGGCACCCTGACTGCTGACAAGTAGACAGTTTCTGCACAAGTTTTCCACAAAGGAACTAATGGAAAACTCAAACATGGCTTAATGTGCAAAAATTCTAGGTTTGAACATTCTTGAGGCTGTATAAGCTCAGTATGCAAATACTGAGAGAATTAAAATGCAATCAAACAACTTGGCTAAATTATAAAGGGTAATACAGGACATTTGAAACAATGCTCCACAATCATACATTAACAAACTGTATGGCAACATGTAAATAATATAATATGCTCTATATAAACCAAAGGGCGTGCATACAAAGTTCTGCTGCATCATACTAATTCTCACTTATCGTTTATATTTTCTATGGCAATGTTTTGTGTTTTTAATTGATTCACTATCTAGTAGCCATTACTCGTGGGTTATGGCTCCTGTATGTGTATCACTTATGTTCTTAATTATTCCGTTACTGTATGTACTGTAGAGATTCTTTATGTTTCATGTATTATTTGTTCTGATTATCGAACTGTATTGTGTTGAAATTATATATGAAAAGGGCTGAATAAAATATATGAAATCACTAGAGAAAGTAAAGAACGATCTAATGGACTTACTGTATCTTGTCCAACTTTAGTGCACTATTGTTTGCTACCAGGTATATTGTAATTTGATAAAGACAAGGTATTATTTCCATTGTTTAGGTTTACAACTCTTGTATTTCTCTGTTATCAGCAAATCGATTTTGGCGCCATTCATCACGTTTTAAGCTGCAAGAAAATGCAGTGAATTTTATCCTAAGTTCATGTGAAGACTGGTCTTTGAATAGTTTATAGAGAGCTTTCAGTTGAAAGATTTGCTCAAAATCTATCTGAAGCGAATCCAAACATCACGTACATATAATGTTAAAGATATCTAGGGCCGTAATTTCAGAGAACTTCAGAAGGGAGTGTGAGTCAAGTTGTGTCAAGATACAAAACACCATCTGTTTCAAAGAGCATAATAAATGAGAAAAATTGTACAATTGTTACATTTCTAATGACCACATGCAAGAGTCCAAAAGAAAGTGATCACTGCCTTGAAGAGTGACAAAGACTTCAAGGAATTCAGGTACATCTACATCAATGTAACTTTAAGAACTTTAAAAAAGTATAGTCTAATCAGTTGGTGTTTCATGTAGAATCGTAAAAAAAGTGTGGAGCAAATGTTATCAGATGTTTACTAAAACATGATAACTGAGAAGATATAAATCTTTCTGAGCATTCGTGATTACATCACATATCAACCTACTGCATTACCGGGATAGAGTGGAAAAGGATGATGTGTGGAAAAGTATCTTTTTTATTAATTTGTAAAGAAAACTTCGATCAACTTATATATGATTTTATAATATCCTGCAAAGTCAAGGTGGGGGGGGGGGCGAACTGACGCTCCTGAAGATAATTTTGATTTACGGTTCTCATCCCACTATAAAAGAATGCAGTGAGATCTCGCGTCTATAAAATCTGTTTAATTAGAAAATTAACCTTGAACTGAAAAGAGCAGTAACAGTTGATAAAGAATAATGATCCAAGTTGATGAAATCCTTAACGGGAGAGGAAGGGTGTGATGTTGAGGGATTTAGGGCTAAACGGTCAATTTGCTGTATATTTAAGTAGTCAAGTGGAGGCTACAAGAAATAATTAGAGTAGGCGTGAAAACTGACTGACTTTTATGTATATGCAAGATAAGATCAATTGATTTTTCGCATTTACCTCTGTTATTTGCATACACATTAAACTGTTTAACTTGTGAAATAATAAAATATAAATAAAAATACGCATTTTACATCTGATGTCTTTTAAAGAAATATTCAAAAATTTCATAGTTTATTCCTCTTGTATGTCGAAACGTAAATAAAATTTAGTTTGTTGTACAATAAGATATATAAGAGCAGAAAATTATTAATTGTAATTTGGTTAATAAACAATATGCACTAGTGTAGTGGTGTTTAAAAACAATTGTATAATGTAATGCAACTTTATAATTGCAGAACAAACCGTTTCTCTTGTCGATTTAACATTGCAAGACGTTTGAAACAAACTTGTTTTAGGCGATTTTCCATTAACAATTTACAATAAATGAAAATAAATTCGGAAAGCTATTTTCTAAGAAGTAATAAACATTAAACAATTAAATGTGTATTATCAAACGATGCAGGATTTTACTAATAAAGAGG